TACTTTTCATGGAAGGAATCAATCAATCGGTGGACAAAAATACATACATAATATATATTTTTTTGCAAAGCTAAACATGGAAATTGAAATGACATATCCACAGAAACGAATACATAGACCAACGTGAGATGATTAGTTTAGATGCTTGGGGATCAACGTGTGTCTTCAGAATGGCGTGTAAGGGTGATTTACGGGACGGTGGTTAGATTGTGTTAAAGAAGATGCATTAAGGAATTCAACATGACATGTGTTTGTATTTTCAAGAAAATCCTATTTCCAAGCGGATGAATTCCATCCGGTGTGAAATCATATAAAAGTTTGGGTAAATGGACATTTATTGAACTGATATCAATACTGATTAATGTAAGGTTTTATGGTAGACATGTAGAGGGCGTTTTCAAACTGTTGGCATCTATGACAATAATTAAATCGATGCTATCCCCTATTTCGACCTGGGTCTCCTTTCACAAAGCACTAGGGTGATCGTAAATCACAAAGGTAACCTTAGTGCAATGTCAGAGAATGGGAGTTAAGGTTAACCTTAGTAAAGGTTGCTTCGTGAAATGAGAAACTGAACGTTGTGTGACTGTGTATTCTTTTCAGGTAGAAACTTGCCTTGCCTCTATACGTATTTGTGACAGTGTCAGCGACGGGGCAGGACTGGAACACATTTTAGCGAAAGCTATGCATCATCATCATCATCTGACAGTGATTCATAATTACATGCACAGCGTCGACTATCGACTTTGTTTTGAGCAGAGAGATATTTCAAATGAAAATGGCTAGCGTTTTGTTGTTACTATCAATCTCATAAAGAGAAGAAACATAAATGTATCAAACTATGATACCAAATCAAGCAATGTCCTACTGGCAAAAACTAATGGTCATTATTGAAAATACCGTCCTCATGAAGCGTTAAATAGTTCAAAGAATATAATTTTATATGTCAGAGATACAAGGCGTGCACTGGACACGACTATGCTATCGAATGACACATTGTCTATCGAATGCTGCCTTGTTGTTCCGTCAGTAATAATCACGATCTGAACTTTCCTTAAAGGTAAGCTTGTGTTTCTTCCTGACTACATGATAACCTGATGCCGTGGGTACTGTAATTAACACATACGTAGAAGCCTGCTCTTCTCACTTATCACCTTCTAGTACGAGGTCACCTTGAACTATAACAAATTCTCATACGATGTTTTATGTGAGGCAAGACATGCTGCGTTTCGCTTACACCTCTGCCATCAGTTAAAAGCGATCCAGAAGTGCAGCTTCTTGAATGTGTCACGTTGGCTGGGTTCATACTCCGTTTTCTAAGTTGAGTTTGGTCGTGTAGCCTTAGTCCAAGGCTGTACTGAAAGCTGAGTCCATGGATGTATAGTAATTCTATCCTTCGAAGAGGCAAGTCTAGATAAGCGGACAGTAAGAAACCCAATCTGTTATCTATTATGTTTTAGAAATTAGCATTTAAACTATTAATTTTGACCTTAAAGACTTGTGCAGGTCTAGTGGTCGTGGTACGCCTCGAAGCTTTGTGCAGATGGTCACCGACAGCTGTAGAAAGCCAGCGGGATGTTCCTAGATTATTCCATGTTGCGATCCCAGGACTTAGGTTTTTAGTGTGGAGACATTATGAACTGTAAATATGTATGTTATACCTGACACATTAATATTTATATGATTAATTATGAGTAACATTCTTCTAATTGTTTGCACATTATATTCCAAGTTTCTGTGTTTCTTCGTTCTGTTGCTAGACGAAACTTTCATCCCTTACTTAGTTGCTTAAAATTGTAACCTTCATTAAGTGTAAAATGACGTTCTTGTCTATTTGGGACAGGGTGTTATAGAACGTTAGTGTCAGAGAATATACAGTCTCGATTATCCAGCGAAACAGATTTCCATTAGAAGTGAAACTAGAGGGGAAATTACATAAACAGACAAGTGTCACCTCTTACGACGAATATGGGTTGCTGAAGGTCATTTCTACACGTATCTTCACGGAACATTTTGTATTGATGACAGTCAGATCAATCAGCTCACCTCCAAAGGAGAATTTAAAAGAATCTTTGATGCCAGCTAGAATTTAAAAGAATAAAGCTTTTCTCTCTCTAAATTACTAGATCCAATCTTACAATGTCCTCAGTGAAACATCTCATGATGGCGAATCTGTCAATTGGTGGATGGATATATGAAACTAATCTCATTATAATGCGGTAATAACGTTACGTTGTTCTATACGACTACAGGCCATAATACGTCCACGTCTCTCATGACGGGTGCCACCTTAGGGGCAGAGATAGGGAGAAAAGCTGTAGCATCCTTATGTGTTAGTGATTCATAAACACAGGCTCATGACAGGATTTGTACAGTCCACAGTCCGCTTTTTGTAGAGAGATCCTATGAATGTGGAACGGGTTGATTTGAAGTAATAATATGTTACGGTTCCATCAATTGTTTACTGCCGTAACACGTCTTAGCCTCGATTTGCAGCAGTAACACGTGATGGTCCCGTTAGCATTTCGAGGTAATAACACGTTAATGAGACATACAGTTCTAGGAAATAGTACGTGATGGTGACCTAGAGTTGTAGGTAATAATACGTGTCATATAGTTAAAGACAATTATACGTCAACGTGACATACAGTTGTATGTAATAATACATCAACGTGACATACAGTTATATGTAATAATACGTCAACGTGACATACAGTTGTATGTCATAGTACATCAACGTGACATACAGTTGTAGGTAATAATGCATCAACGTGACATACAGTTGTATGTAATAGTACATCAACGTGACATACAGTTGTAGGTAATAATACGTCAACGTGACATACAGTTGTAGGCAATAATACGTCAACGTGACATACAGTTGTATGTAATAATACGTCAACGTGACATACAGTTATAGGTAATAATACGTCAACGTGACATACAGTTGTAGGTAATAATACGTCAACGTGACATACATACAGTTATAGGTAATAATACGTCAACGTGACATACAGTTATAGGCAATAATACGTCAACGTGACCTACAGTTGTAGGTAATAATACGTTAACGTGACATGCAGTTGTAGGTAATAATGCGTCAACGTGACATGCAGTTATAGGCAATAATACGTCAACGTGTCACACTCTTAGAGACAATAATACGGCAACGTGATATACAGTTATAGGAAATGATACGTCAACGTAACATCCTGTGATAGGAAATGACACTTCAACATGACATGCAGTTACAGTCAATAATACGTCATCGTGACATACGGTTATAGGTAATAATACGTCATCGTGACATACGGTTATAGGTAATAATACGTCATCGTGACATACGGTTATAGGTAATAATACGTCATCGTGACATACGGTTATAGGTAATAATACGTCATCGTGACATACGGTTATAGGTAATAATACGTCATACGTGACATACGGTTATAGGCAATCATAATCATAGTCAACGTGGCTTACAGTTATAGGTAATAATACGTCATCGTGTCATACAGTTATAGGTAAAAATACGGCATCGTGTCATACAGTTATAGGCAATCATAATCATAGTCAACGTGGCTTACAGTTATAGGCAAAAATAAGTGACATACAATAATATGAAATATAACATACTTCTCTCAATCTCATCTTTAATTCAGGCGACACCCTGCATATATTCTTGAATAAAAATGTCAGTAGTTTTCCTCGTTCAAAGTTGGTACTTCAAAGAAACACAACAACTTAACATGAAGATGTTCTTTAACCATTCTTCATCGATCTTTGCTCGGCGCTGTTGCTGAGTGCTAGACTCTTATTGTTCCTTCAAGAAGCAGGCTATAAAAAGAAATTGATGTAAACATCCTTGACATTCATCATATACAGGCGAAGAAGAAATTGATGTGTTTAAGTGATTGTACCAGACTATTTACGTAAATACCAAATACCAGTTCTTCAATCTAGATGTCCGCACATGGTAAGCTGGGGAATATAATGCAGTAAGCATTTTGTGTCATTCAAAATAATTCTTTGATCTAAAAAATATAATTTTATTTCTGCTGAAATGCTTCTGCTAAAAAAAATGTATATGACAAAATTTCACAGTTTTCAAGTCCGCCTACGACAAAATGGAATCTAAGCAGAAACGTTATTCGGTTTCAGTTGCGTGCTTGAATATCTAAACGGAATTTACCATATCTCTGTGATATGTCTTTTCTCAGTATCAAATTTGAGCTCTCCCGTTACCGTTCTGAGATAACAATCTGACAGCGGCCTGTAAATAATCGAGTCTGGACCAGACAATTTGACATTGGTAGCTGTGGAACCTATTCTTAATTGCTGTTTCTGGCTTTGAATTCTGTATAACCTCTTGCACCACAGTCGCATGGCGAACCTTGAAATATTCGCGGAAAGAACCACACCAATTGTACCTCACAAATGTATATACCAAAGCTTGATGCAGCTTTTTTTTCGGTCAAAACATGAAAGATGTGCGGCAGTTTCACTACTCTCATTCATATCCAAATCAGTGAACGTGGCATTTAACAATTATTGACCGATGTCAGATTGTCGATGTACCCAAATCTTAAATTAAACTTCTCACAAAAATTCCCGTGTTTTGATGTTACCAATCCGAGCAGAAATTCCAGATAAAGTAACATATGAGTAGCGAGGGGGCATAATCGGTGCACAGGGGGTGCACTCTTCAAACATAATATATCTCCAAAGATAACCTTGACGTTGTCTGAGGAAGTCCAGAATGAAAGTTTCAGAAAATGCTTAATTAACATCAGATGAACTTTAAACATAAGACATTTTCATCGTTGAGTGAGGGAAAGAGTATGTCTTTTTTATTGCAATGGGTTTCACACATTGCACCAATGTGGGAATCGAACCCAGCCCTTCGGCGTGTCGAGTGAATACTTTCTTCACAAGGCTGCCCCATCTCCCTGTTTCATCATTAGCCACAAGTAAATATTTGTTGTTGTTTTTTGTTTCAGTGCCGTCCTGCACTCGAGATGAGGAAGCATTATGGCCGCTGTTCGCAGGAGTCCCTGAAGGCAAACATCAATACTCAGTCCATGGTAAGATTGGATACCCGTTTCTTAAATATACTGATGGAAATTAATAAGGGAACACACAGTACCAAGGGAATCATTTATTTGAATTCACATCGAACATTGATCCTGATGATCATATGAGCTTGCTTACGACATCGGTGACGCGACAGATGCTAACAGCGTAGCCGCTCGGGAGTAAGTGTGGTTTTACGCCGCTTTTAGCAATATTCCACCAATATCATGGCGGGGGACACTAGAAATGGCCTTTGCACATTGCACCCATGTGGGGAATCGAACCCGGGTGACGAGCGGACACTTTAACCATAAGGCTACCCCACAGCCCCAGGCGCTAGTGAAGGGAGGGGTGGAGAATATGTTCCTGGAAGCATTTACTTGAGTCAAATACAGTTATAGCGGGGACATGACACAGCAATGACGTCAGAATGTATTCTGAGAGCGGCGTAAAGCATATTAATAAGATACATGTTTCTTTATTTGGCATCAACAATATAACTCCCTTGCAGTGACAGAATGGCTGCATTGTTTCAATGTAACTCCCATCGTAAAAATAAGGTCACTACACAACCACATATGAAGGTGAAGGTCACTATTCAACTGACCGCCTCCGTGGTGTAGTGGTTAGAGCGTCCGCCCGGAGTGCGGAAGGTCGCGGGTTCGATCCCCGACTGCGTCATACCAAAAGACGTTGAAATATGGTACTTGTTGGTCCCTGCCTGGCGCTCGGCATTAATGGGTACAACAAGGACTGGTCGGCTCGGAGTCAGTATAATGTGTCTGAGTGGGGTATTCATGCTTCACTGCGGCATGGTATCACAGTGGGCTATAGCTAGCACTATAAAACCTGCTTAAGTCTGGGCTAGTACAAGCAGCCGCACATACACATACACACGCATGCACGTCGTCATATGAACGAAATATTCTCAAGAACGACGTTAAACCCAATTCCACCACCACCACCACTATTCAACTTATAATGGTTAAGGTCAATGACAATTTGTCAAAGCCCTTTATGTCCTATTTGAACTGAATAGCAGAGTTTCTCATTTTCATTGCATGACTGACAAGCAGAGTTTGAGCTGGTATCATAAAGGTTTGTGTCACTTACAGTACTGCAAAGGGGAATGGTGTCACAGCTCTACTGTACATTGCCAGGTCTAGACGTTGTAATGAGTGCCTTGTGTGTAATGGAGACACTGAATTCATGTGATTAAGGTAATCACGCACTGCTACGACGAGATTAACCTTAATGCTATTTAGCAGACAAGTAAGGTCTTGTTTGAATGACCCGAATAATTTCCCGTCTCTCCAAATTGGGTCTGGTCTAATCTGCTGTAAGATGGTTTGTATCAATCCTTTGTATCATACCAAGTAGGCTTCCTTGTCACATTATAGTTCCAGAGATACAGCATTACAGCTAAAGCACATACATCAATTAGATATCTCTAATTTAGGGAAGTAATGTACCAAACGTGATAAAGGCTACATAAAGTCAACGACGTTTGTAATTACTTTACCTCTGCCTGGAAGCGCATTGATTTAAGGACGTGCTGGAAATAGGTACCATGAAAATGCATGCTCTAGCAAATATAGGTACTTCCTTAAATCAATCTAGTCTTCTCCCCGGTTAGAATTGGTCTTGAGCAACCCATGCTTGTCGTAACAGGCAACTAACGGGATCTGGTTGCCAGGCTCGCTGACTTGGTTGACACACGTCATCGTATCCCAATCGCGTAGGTCGATGCTCATGATGTTGATCACTGGATTGTCTGGCCCAGACTTGATTATTTACAGACCGCCGTTATATCGCTGGAATATTGCTGAGTGTGACGTTAAACAACAAAACAAACAAATCATACTTGTCTTTAATACCAATGTAGGCACCCCTTAAAACGTAAATCTATTTTTCCAACCATCCTTCAGAGTTAAAAAGACGGAATTCTGTTTCACCCTTTACTAGAGTTGCGGCTAATCTTTAGGACGGTTACTAAGATAAAACACTAGAACATTAATTGCGGTAGTTACTTAGAACTTTTGGACAGTTTATTAGAATATTTACATAGTTGGTAGAACATGTACGGCAGTTGCATAGAACACTTAGCTACGACAGTTGATAGAACGTTTACGACTTTGGTAAAGAACATACCGACACTTGCTGTGAAGATGTGTAGCATTTCTTTGAACAGTTAGCTACGGCAGTTGTTGAAACGTTTAGAGCTATGTAATCAAGGAAGACTTGTATTAAACAATCATGAAGTGTATTAGACTACTTAATATTGTTAGGGGGATGGGTGCTCAGGCAGTGCCCTCAGTTGCCTAGTAGCCCTCTTTGACCGTCCTTCTCTGTATAACGGCTCTACACTATACTCCGGCCTCCCGTTTGTATGGCGTACAAAGCATCCCAGAGAGGCGATGGCTGCTGGCAGAATACACCCTTTTCGACACAATGCGTACTGAGTATTTCGGTTAGTGGATCACGAGGCAGTTATACATTTAGTTCACAAAGACTGCCATGGCGACCGAAATGTCAAACGAACACGAAGAAAGCATGTAGATCAAGAGCTGAGAAAACTCCTTACCACGACATAATCGAAATACATTGAAAGCAAATTATGAATACTGTTACAGGAACATAATGCACTAATGTAATCCGGTTAATGCTGTGTGTCGGCGTCATGTCCTTTCAAGACAAACGTACAAAACGGTTAATCTGATTTCTGAAAATTGGTGCTAGAACAGATCATGCTACGGAGTTAGTTAGTGAGTGAGTAAAGTTTAACGCCGCTTTTAGCTATATGCCAGCAATATCACGACGGACGGGGGACACAAGAAATGGGCTTCCCACATTGTACCCATGTGGGGAATCGAGCGAACGCTTTAACCACTAGACTACCCCACCGCCCCTGGACGGGAAGGAAATGATTTGATAATATTTCAAGACCTGCGTTAGTTTCATTGCATGGGATACTTTGAGGCAGTTGCAAGAAACGATGGCTGACATCATGGTCTTCCCGCTCATCCTCAGTCCAAGGATAGACAGTTTATCAGGTGCAAGTTCTTAAGTCAGATATTTACGTTGTAGCACATCAGAAGTACCCCTAAAACGAACTTCTGGGATCTGTCTCAGTGGCATGTGTCTTGCTGCACGCTAAACCCTCGTTGGTTAAAGATCTTTCCACACAGGTCATCTTCCTGTTTCAGGTGTTAATATATAACTACAAGGCTGTCTCGGCTGTCGGTACGCGTTGAGAGATATGTCCCCTGGGCCCCTTCACTTTGAAGCGTTGCTCGAAATACATGTGATCAAATGAAGAGTATGTAATCCGCGAAAACAGACATCCCAGGATGTTGATGGACACCAGCGCTCCTAAGGTGTCGGAAAACATCCCACAAATGACTGAAAGTATTTATTCGTAGTCAGTAATATCATGCTTGCATCACAACGGCCTGTATATGAGTTCGAGTTCAAACTAGACAAACCATTGGTTGACGGGGTACGAGTATGTACAGCTACATACGGCCCACATGTCACAAGTCAGGGGATGAGTAACCGAGTTCAGCAGTTTGACGGAGTTTCTGGGTTCCTGCCCAGCAATGAAGATTTTGTAGGGCATGTAATGTCTTCGTTGGCATGGGACCTTGTTTGAAACGTGGCTCAGTTCAACCCACTGTGAATGGGTACCCGTTAGGAAGAGTTGGTAATATGATTGTAAACCTTCCAACGCCGTATATGCACTGTGGGTAACAATGCCGAGCGAGGAAGTATTAGGTCGACTGCAGACTCATCAATTGACAGTGGAATTTAAGTATTCACTATGTTTGGATTTGGTGTTTTATATATGTCCACATTCTTCTATTACTGGGCTATCTTGCGAAGGTGGTTCCTTGGGACGCATGGTAAAGATAGTGCTGTCTGAAAGTCTGACATACTAAACGTGGGGAACGCTACCTTGTATTTCGTCTACTCAGAAAAAACAGTGGTAAACGTCTTAGCAATAGATGTGTGCCTGTCTTGCGAAGAAAGTTCCATGGGGATTGTGCTTGACTGTCATGCAAAGGAACCCAAATGGGAACATCCTGTAGATAATAGTCTCAATATAGTCTGACATACCACACGTGGGAAATGCTTGTATTTCTTCTACTCAGTATCTGTAAGCAGGGGTAAACGTCCCAGAAATAGACGCTGTTTTACTCGCTCTCCGTCATGGTGTTTACACTGCCGCGTCCGACACACCTAATGTAGGCGGGCGTTATGGGTCCAGGAACAATGCAACAAATAGTACCCGATACAGCACGCTTCCAGCTTGCATTATTAGTATAAACACTTAACAGCCATGCATCTCTGAAATCTACAGATGGCGTAGCTGTTCCATGAAATGTTCAATCAGGAAGTACCATGTTTCTGTTGGTCAAGGTCACACAAGAGATCCGGCTTATGATTGGCTAAGAGTGTTCGACTGACGTTGTCTAATACCGATTTATGTCACCAATTGTCTTCGTTAAGTTTGGCACGCATGTTTTTGATATTTTCCGAGTATGTGTAATGGATCTACTGAATGTAAAATGATATGTATCAGGCATGAAATAATGATTACAGTCGAAATGGATAAATCAATCATTTCCATACAACCGATAATTCGATACAACCGTAATCCATGGAGTATAGCCAGTTTTTGTTTTGGTCCTGCATAAGAGGACTATGCTCAATGGTCTCATTCCAGTTCAGGGTCTCCTTCCAACAAAGCGATCTTAGAGCTAAGTCGATCGTAACTTTTGTTGTTTAACACTGACTTACAATAATCAGCAAACGTGCTATCGTGTCACCGGATAGTTTCGTCCATCACTGGACTGTTTGGTCAAGACTTGATCGTTTACAGGCCGCCTGGCAGGAACGCTGCTATGCGGGGTCAGGCAACAAGCACTTACTTATTTCTAGATGACTGTGGCGGGTGTTGTCGGTAGAGCAGAACGTGCTCACTCTGTCCTCGAACACCTGTTGGTGTCAT